TGAAGCGCAGGACGGGGTCCGGTGGATGGGAGGCAAGGAAACGCGGGGGGTTGCCACGTGCGCTGCCGCCGCCGCCGCAGGCAGCACCCCTGCGGCGGCGGCAGCGGCAGCAAGCCGAGGACCCAAACGCCGTGCCGCCGCCGCCGCAGGCAGCACCCCTGCGACGGCGGCGGCAGCAAGCCGTGGACCGAAACGCCGTGCCGCCGAGTCCCGTGGCTGTGGCCGTGGGCTTCTGGCAGGAAACTACGGCCGCAACTCGGCAGCACGGGGGCGTCGCAGCGTGCCCCCGCCGCCGCCGCGCTGCCCCCCGGGCACGGCGGCGGCGGCAGCAAGCTTGGGCCCAAACGCCGTGCCGCCGAGTCCCGTGGCTGCGACCGTAGACCGTGGGCCGGAAACTGCGGCCGCAGCTCGGCGGCACGTGGTTCTGGTCAAATCGCCAAGCGTGCAGCAGCGCCGAACCACGCTTCCCGGCCTCGGCGCATGCCTTCAGGGGCCCCCTATCGCTGGGCACACCCCTCCAACACCGAACATGCGCCCGGGGGGGAGGGCGGCCCGGGCTGCCCAGGCCAAAGTGGGCCGCCCTCGAGCAAGAGGCGGCCGGTCTGTGTGCTGAATGAATGAATGAATAGAGGTAAGTCTGTCTGTCTGTCTGTGGTGGTAGAGGTAAGGTCTTGTTCGCGCCATAAATCCAAGCTGCAATTGTGCCGGGTTTTGCCATCGATGTTGAGACCTCTCCAATGTCCGCGGCATGCTTTCTGTTGAGGGCAGCAATCTGCAAGTTTGGGAATTGGTAGGCTGGTAACATCAGGCATCTCCATTATCAACAAGATGTTGGGCAAGTGATCCATGATAACCCACTGCCTGCCAGCCCCTCCCAACACACACACACACACCTGTGCCACGCTGAACGCCTCGCTCTCTTCCCCCCGCTTTGATGCGATTGCAACCCGGAAGATGTCGTCATTCGCCACATTGCTCGGCACCGGCTGCGCCCAAATCTTGGGCCCACCCGCCGCGGACGCATCTGTGATGTTGTACAGATCTTTGCGGTACTCGCATTCCTCGCCTGCCAGCACATCACAAGGGCGGCGAGCAGCAGCAGGGGAAGGTGAACGTGCATGCAGCCGGTATTCAGGCGCGCACGCAACGACGCCGCCACTTGCTGTCGGTGGGCGCGCTGACCTGGCAGTTCTGCAGTTGACTCGTCGTCAAGGATGAGCTGCAGCCACTGCCCATGCTTGATGCGGGCTGTGGAGTTCACCTGCACTTCCAGCGATGACCCACAGACAGGTCGGGTAGAGTTGATGCGCAAGACGGCTGGCAGCTATGCGATGGCTGGCAGACATGTGCTCTAAGACAGAAGCGCACCGGCAGGCGCCTGCCGCCTGGCGCAATCGTTTTTGCTGTGATGACCTCAGCCAAGATGTTGACTTCAGCACGTTGTTGATGGCCACTGCAAGTCGCAGCAAAAACAACCAGCAAGGGTGTGCCCAATGCCAGCGCATGCACATCGCCACTGGAAGCCTATCGGACATCTGTGCCACAGCAGCGGCAGCGCACCTAAACATAATCAGCGCTCCGCCGGCCGACCAGATTGCTTTAGGTTCACCTGCGCCCAGCACCACAATATGTGTGAGGCAGGCTGGCCCTGCCCAGGAGGTGGCCCTGCCCAGGAGGCGCACGGAATGCTCCCTCCTCTTCCTGCGCCTCTCCGGTTGCTGTGGCCTTGCTGTTGCCAGCTGTCAGCTGGAGCTCACCTGTGCAGGCATCTACTCCCCACTGGGTGTAAATCTGTGCCAGGGATTTGGTGAAAATGATTCGGGTTTTGAGGCGGCCCGCCCCCCTGATTACGATGTTGCTGACGTTTGCATACAGCGGCTTCGAAAGCAGGTAGGTCCCGCGAGGGAAATAGACCACGCCGCCTTGGTTGTTAATGGCGCGCCTGAGCGCGGCCTGCGGGGCGGGAGATTTGGGCGGGCAGGGTGAGTGGCCAGCAGCGCGCGAGGCAGCATGCAGCACACCAGCAACAATCACCTGCACCGCCTTATCGTCCAGGGACCTTCCGTTCCCCTTTGCGCCAAGGTTCTTCACATTGACAACCTTGCCAGGCAAGTTGGTAGGGATTGGGCGCTCGCCGCCTGCGGGTCGCAGCACATGCACCACTTTCCACACGACCTGGGCAGCACAGCGAGAAGAATGAGTGCCCAAACAAGGCCCCAACCCGAACCACAGACCTGCATATCCTGCTCGGCTCCAATCATATCCACGCCCAGCGGGGAGCCACTTGGTTGCAACCACTTGGTCTATGGACGGGCGGGCGGCCGCGACGGCGGCATCAGGGATGCCAGCGGCGGCGCCAACCCCTGCGCCTACAGCGATCAAAGACCACAATAAGAGGTGATAGCACAGGCGCCGGGGTGTTCTTGGGTGTGAGTGACTGATGTCCTACCCTCTGCCAAAACCAGCCGATTTCGTATACATGGCAACCATCGGAAATTGGGGCCGTAGTTATCCAGTTAGGGTGAGGGCAGCGGCGAAGCAGGCCGCGGCAACATTCTGCAGCGACCACGTTCTCACCTGCCGATGTCGCTAGGAGCAGTAAGCAGAGACGTGTGAGGAGCTCCATACCGTGATTGGTAAGGGGGGCGGCGCTGCGGAGGGGTATCTACCACCAGCAGGTGCCCGCCCGGGCGCGACATGCAGCACCATGCTGGCCTTGCTGGCCTTCCTCTGCCATGTCCCAGGTGCGTGTCATCACATGTCCAGGCCAAGCCAGGCACCAGCAAAATAGACCCAGCCAAGATGCAGCGGGGCAACAGGAAGCTCATCGAGCTATGCTGCCGCTACCATCGCTACCGCTGATGAGGCCACCGCCGCTTTTACTGCGGGACGGCGGCCACCACCAGCGCTTCCGCTCTTGCTGCTGCCGCTCATGCTGCTGCTCTTCCTGCTTGGGCTGCGTGGTGCGCAGCGGGTGCGCCTCCGTGTTCAGCACCCATTCATCCATGTCGAACGCACTATCATCACTGCAGAGCACGGAGCGCACACCCGGACAAGGGCAGAGAACGACGAGCATTGAGGCAGACGGAAAGCAGGTAAGGGGCTCCTAGACGTTGGGTGCCACACCACGGCCACAGCATCATCCCCCTGCCCCACCCCCACGGGCAACACCCTCGCTGAGCCGACCTGCCGGCCCAGCCTGCCCACCTGAACAGCAGGAAGAGATACTTGAGTGTCTCTGCCAGGAAGAAGCTCTGCTGCGTGTCATCAGGCACAGGCGTGGCGGCCCGCACATCCTTGATGCCAGAATAGCCCGCCTCAACCTGCATGCGCAGACAGGGCGAGGCGGGCGTACGGGCTGCTTGGCACAGAGCCAGCACGAGCGCAGCCGGCTTGGTCCATGCACTGGCAAACCAAGACGCCCGCCCCAACCAACACTACCCCGCACTAGACTCCCCCCCAATTGCCTCGTTCAGCCACACTTTAGAGTTCGCCCAACCAAGCCCTTTCGTGCTTGCCCAAGCCCACCTTGCAGTGTGCTTCAAAGGCCTGGAACACCTGCCAGCCCCAGGCCCGGTACTTCCAGTCGTGTGTCAGCCGCCACATGTACCACATGGCCTCCAGCGCCTCGGGCCGCAGCAGGTTGTAGGCCGCGCCCACCTGCAGGCAGGGCCAGGGCGTGCGCAAGCAGGGCGCGTGCTTTGTTTGCGCCTGTCCAGGGACACGTGCTGCCGGCAGACTGACGCCCGCCTGGTTGGTTGCTCTGGCCAATGCAAAACAAAGCAGCGCTTTCTGCTTCATTTTCATCAGCTATCCACCTTCATCAGCTACCCACCTTCATGCCTTGAGCCGAAAAAGTCACATACTCTGGCGAAAGACCTGCGCCGGGAAAGATTGGAGCAGAGCTTGTGAGACATGATGCCCAGGCGGCACACCGGCCGCATGCAGGCTGGCAAGCGATGAGCAGGTAGGCAGACAAGAGGCATCAGGGGAGTCAGAGAAGGCGTGCTGCAGGTGGAACGCCGGAGCAGCACCCCGCTCGCCCACCCACACACGGACCTGAGGGCATGCGGTGATACATCTGCCAGCAGGTGTGGGTGAGGTCGGCAGCCAGCTGCATGTAGCGCTCTGCCTTGGCCCCCTGCACCGCACCGCTGTGCGCCCCCAGCGCCAGCATGCCCGGCACGAAGCACACCAGGTGGTCAAACTTGTGCTTGATGATGGACCTGCGGCATAAGAGCAAGGGGGCAAGGGCCGGTCAGCACGACTCACACCAATTCACGCAAGGAGAAGCAGGAGGCTAATGCCAGGTCTGCACTCGCCCAAGCACCGGCTGCATGTCAGCGGTAAAGGTTGTGGGCCCGGCTCACCGGTCAAACTCGGCCACATATGTGAGGCCCTCCCGCGAGGTGAACACCAGCTTGTTGATCATCTCATCCATCGCCTGCAGCAGGGGCAGCACCAGGAAGTGCCAGCATCAGCAAGGCCCCCTGCCAACAGCAGAGGAGACAAGGTGTTTGCAGTGTTGGTGGCCACAGTGCGTGCATGCGCCGCCCCCAAAGCCTGTAAACACTAACCCGCTCCCACATGCTGCGGTACATTTCATCCTGCCGCCCCTTAATGAGCCACATCTTCAGCAGGTACTCGTAATATGAGTCACCCAGCGCGCCAAAAGACACGCGCCGTGCCGTGAAGTTGCCGGTGGTGGGGGAGATGAACAGCGGCATCACGCCCTGCGGCAGGCAGGCACATGGATGGGTGCGCAAGCAGGTGAGGTGTGGCAGGGGAGTGAGCTGTTGCTGGCAGGCCGTGCTGCAAAAACCAGCCAGCCAACCCTGGTGTTTGCCGCTGTGCATGCGCGACTCGTCTACAGTCCTAACTGCGGTCTGCCCACCTGCTGCGGCCAGCCCTTGTGCAGGTGCCGGATCGTGCCCTCCGCCAGCTCAGCGTATGTGTCGTTGCCAGTGCTCTGTGACAGCCGCCAAAACTCAACCTGGTGCGTCCCAAACTCTGCCAGCGTGGATGCCCTGCACATGCAACGAGCCAGCACAGCCATTGCACACGTTATAAGCTCTCCAAAGGTGGGGGAGATCAACCTGACCACCTCTCAGCCATGCATCCGTTGCTTCCGCAACAAAGTCCGAGCGTGTGCGGATGCTCTCCCAGACTCGACCAGCCTGCACGCACCGCTGGTTCCAGGTAGGGTTCTTGGCCTGCTGGGTGGCCAGGTTGATGATGTTCAGGGGGATCTTCGTGGTGGTGTTGTAGGCAGGTAAAATGCGGTCCGCCACTTGCTGCGCCCTGAAACGCAGGAAACCACCGTGCTCCATGTATGCCAAATCTGTACCTGGTGCCATGCGCAAACACACCACCTCCCAGGTCTACCCCCACCTCTCCAGCATGACTTTGTCGCCGGTCATGTCATGTGCTGCCAGCATGCCGCCCACCACCCGGATGATCGTCTCAAACACGGAGGCATCAAAGGATGCATTGAGAGGCATCTCGCTGCGCACCCACTCAGCCGCCCGGCCATACTCCTCGTGAAAACCTGCAGGCGGTGGCAGCGAGGCAGCCAGAGGCGATGGGACGCCTGCCTGGCTGCGTCCCGTGATCTTACTGCTTCCCTGCCGTACCAGTCCCATTGAAGCTCAGCGAGCCGGCTCAGCTCATCTTGCTCACCCATCATGTGCAGCGTGTCTAGGGCATCAATCATGGTGGCCCCCAGCCCGCCAAAGCTGTTCTTGCCCTGCTGGCTGACGGGGCACAGCTCGTCCTGCCCCCACGCATACTTCTCATAGCCACGCCAGGAGTGCAGCATGGCCGCCTTGATGGCCTCCCGCCGCCTGCAGCAGCCAGTTGAGGGCGTGTGGGATGCAGGCGCAGGGGCACCATGCACGCACCGGGACGTCCGACCGCCGGCCTAATCCCTCCAACAGCAGCGATGGCCCTAAACAAACACTTAATCTCAGCACGATTCCCCTGCCACCCAACCCCGCCTTGTCCCCTCCCCACCCACACCTGGCCACCTCAGCCTCGCTAAGCTCCTCCACAGCGGGTTCCGGCTGCGACGGGAAGCTGGAAACAATCGCGCTGTAGCGCTGGCGACTGGCCGCCTGCAGCCCCACCCGATGCCGTGTCTCCTCCAGCTTTTTGGCAAAGCGGGACGGGGATGCTTTCTGGAATTGCGTACTGCGGGTGCGGGAGTTGGCGGCGTTGCGGGCGCCTGTCTTGGCTGCCATCGCCGCCACTTGCTGCCCATTGGCCAGCTTCACACCCTCCTTGGCACCAAAGAGCGTGCCAGACAGCTCCGAATCTGAATCCTCCTGCTGCTGCTCATCTTCTAGTTGCGCCATCTGCATTCGCAAGCGCGCAACGGGCGTATTGCTACTACACAAAGGCTTGCTGTGCAGCAAACATGCCAGTATGCTGACGCAGCTGCTGCTCACATCCTGCTGCAAGCCGTCTCCTGCGCATCCTCAACATTGCAGGGCATCACTGCCACCATGCATCCGTCCCTCCCACAAGCTGCCTCTGCAGGCATCCCCTGCCTTACCCTGTCATTCTCCAGCTCGGCTCCCTCTGCAAGCAGCTGTATGCGCTCCGCTACGCCGCTACCCGACCCACCGCTGTCGTCCGCCAGGCTGCGCCGCTTACTGGACACCACGTGCAGCCCGTGGCCTTCCTGCACCACTCATTTCGTGGTTAGAGCCTGATACTGCGGCCCCAGGCAGCAGAGGCTGCCAGGCAAGGTCAGCCCACCCACCTCCTCGTCGGAGATGCGGTTGTGCAGAAGGAAGCTGATGCCTCCGATCAAGATGAGGGCGGCCAGGACCTGCGATCAGGGCAGCGCTTTCGCTCTAAGCGAAAGCCCAGATCCGTGAGACGCGTCCCTGCACGACCGGCTCCTGCAGCTGACGACGAACTCACGATCGCCGCTGGCGTTCCCGCCTGTCGCCCCAGGCGGCGCGTCAGGTTTGAGGTGGAACCCACTCGGGCCCGCCTGGGCGGCGATATGCCGGTCGTCACAGGCAGCATCGTCACCGGTGATGCATCCTGGCCGAAAGACGGGGTTGGGGGCGATCAGGAGGCTCTGTGGAAGAGGCCTCCCCTGCGCCAGCGGTGTCCAACCTGTCAGGCGCCATCCGACCACCCCAGCATCAGAAAGGAGATGTGGTTATACGATACCCTGGAGTGCTGCCTGTGGACCCTGCAGGGCTCATATCTCGTGCAGTGGCCGTCTGCTGCGTCATTCAGTTTTCGAAATTGGGCAGCCCCGTTCGGCAGGTAACCAATCCCTCCTGAGGGTCGCTGGCACGCCCGCAGCTACCTCCCTTGCGGGCGGCAACCCTGCTTATGGTTTGTGCCGCCGCACGCCGCCGCCGCCGGCACACACGCACACGCCTACTGCCTAGCACCAGTGCCTCTCCATCCCACCCACTGTGCAGCCATCCCTCTACAAATGGCGCCTTTGACGTTTGTCGACCTGCTGGCAGTCCTCAAGGGCGAGGTGCCGCCGCCCGACAGCCGTGCCCTGGTCTTCAGTCTGCCGCTCAGCCATCGACAGCTCAAGGAGCTGACCCCGCTGCTGCAAGAGAATCAGTGGCTGCGCAGCCTGAAGCTGCGCGGTTGCCGCCTGGACAACGACGCGGCGAATGAACTCAGCCGCGGGGTCGCCTTCAACGTTGCTTTGCGCACGCTCGACCTGCGGGACAATGAGATTGGCGGTGTGGGCGCCAACTATCTGGCCAATGCGTTGAGGACTCACAACTTTACGCTGCTGTCCCTCGACCTGTCAGGTACTAGCTGGTAGGGAACCTTACCACCAGGCACCCCACACACATTATGCATGTCGCACTTGCGCACTATGTATTCTCTGACGAAGCGACCCTTGCTGCCCCGCCGCAGGCAACCCCGCGCTCGTCGAGGACCCAGAGGCAATGCAGCAGATTGCCATGTCTCTTCACCGCAACAGCCAGAACCGTGCAGACTCGGCCCCCCCATCGCCCACCTCAAATAGCAGGGCCTTGGTGAGCTGGCCGGTCTTGAATGTGCCAGCTGTGGTCTGTGGTGCCGTCGCAAGCCTCCCCTCGCTCTCACACCAGCTCCCGCTTTTGCTGCAGGTGCGGATCCAGGAGGTGCCTCCTGAGACCCCTGCCGGCCGCACTAGGCTGAGCCTCAGCGATGGCGAGATGGAGCGCAGGTGGGACAAGAACGCATCTTGCTTCCAAGCTTGCCACTCCCCTCCTTGCACCCCCCACCCCATTACCAACCCTGCTGCCAGCCCCACCCTGGCTGATCTCCTTGCCGCCCTACAGGTTCCAGGAGCTGGAGCGTGCCCAGGAGGCGCATCGGGCAGAGCTGGCGTCCGTGGCAGAGGCGGGCGCTGAGCTGGCGCAGTACCGCGCCACGCTGGATTTGGCCAGCCAGCAGATGGCAATGGTGTTGGAGCTGCTGCGGGGGGACGTCGAGGGCCTGAAGTGAGCTGTGGGCAGGCTTGGGGTAGGAGGCTGCAGGCTAGACCCCGACGATGCTAGACGGGTGGCACAGCGCGGTCCTGTTGTATGCATGCGCCCTACGGCCATGTTGGCCATGAGGACCAGGTGGCCGTAGCCGCAGCCTGCCCTGAACCAGTCGCCTGCGATGCCCTCCCCATGCTGCCACGTTTGCAGGGCTCGGCTGGATGGGCAGCCACAGGGCGACGCTGTGCCATCCAACACTGCCGTCCGGCTGGAGCAGCGGTGCAGCGAGATGCAGGAGGCTTTGGTGCGGCTGCAGGAGCGGGTGGATGGCGGCAGCCAGCAGGCTGCGGCTCAGCAGGAGATCAGCCTGCTGATGGATGCGGTGCAGCTTCTAGAGGCAAAGCTGGCCAGGTTGGAGGCCGACGGCAGCGCCAGCGTGGCGGCGCAGCAGGAGCAGGGTGTGCAGGAGCTCAAGCAGCAGGTGGCGCTTGCAACAGAGGCGGCGAACAAGGTGCGGGGCTGGGCTGGCTTGCCTGCTGGGGTGGGGCGCATTGGGTGCTTGACAGGACGCATTGCTCGTCGGGACCGGGCCCGCCACCCACGCCCTGCCTCTGCCTTCTGGCCCTTGTGCAGGCGGGCGGCGAGGCGGACGCCGTGGCATCTTCGATGAAGGCGGTGGGCGCGAGCATCAAGGCGCTGCAGGGCGAATTGGCCGCCAACACTGCCAGCTTCATGAGCACGCAGCGGCAGGCGGCGGGCGCCGCAGAGGGGGTGGCTGCGCTGGAGCAGCAGATGCGCACCCTGCAGCTCAGCCTGGATGCCATGGAGCAAGCCCTGGACGGGGCGGATGTGGGGCAGCAGCTGGCGCAGCTGCAGGAGCGCGTGGCGGCTCTCACGACCGTGCAGGCGGCGGCCGCCGCGGCGATGCAGCAGGCGGAGCGGCTAGGTGCCAGCCTGGCAGCGGTGGAGGAGCAGCAGGGGGAGGTGGCGGCACAGGTGCAGGCGCTGGATGCGGCAGACCTGCCAGACCGTGCCGCGCGGCTGGAGGGCATGGTGGCAAAGCTGGAGGCTGCTGCTGGCGAGCAGGCGGCCGCTGTCAGCCAGCTGGCGCCCGCTTCTGCCGTGGAGACGCTGCGTCAGAGCTCGGCATCTGCCCTGCAGGAGGCGGTGGGGCAGCTCTCGGCGGCGCAGGCAGAGCACACCGCAGCTGTGGCAGCACAGCTGGCCGCTCTGCCTGCACCTTATGACGACGGCGCTCTGCAGGCCCGGGTGGCCGCGGCGGAGGCTGCCTTGCAACAGACACAGGAGGCCCTGGCTGCCCTCCGGACAGAGGAGTTAGACCAGCTGAAGGACGAGGTGCAGGCGCAGCTGCAGGCGATGGCAGAGCAGCAGGCAGCAGCTGTGGGGCAGGCGGCGACCCAGGCCGCAGACGGCCTGGCTGAGCTGTGCCAGAGCACGCTGTCACGTCACGCTGCCCTGGAGGCGGCCGTGGAGGAGCAGCAGGCGCATGCGGCTGAGCGCCTGGCAGCCCTGGAGGAGGCGCTTGCGGCTGCCCCGCCAGCTACGTACGATGACGGTCCGCTTCGGTCTGTTGTGGTGGAGACGGTTGCGGCGGCTCGCGCAGAAATGAAGCTGGCGATGGCCCTGCTGGTGCCACGCAAGGATGTGGAGCAGCTGCACGAGGAGGGCGAGGCGCAGCGTGCTGCGCTGGCAGAGCGCCTGGCGGCTCTGGGTGTCGAGCTGGCGGCAGTGAAAGCGGGCCAGGCCGCGGCAGAGGGGCGCACTGCCGCGGCAGAGGCGCTGGAGCAGGTGCGCGAGGCGGCTGATGAGCGTCTGGCTGAGCTGGCAGCACAGGTGGCGGCACTCGAGGAAGCGCAGGCGGCCAGCGCGGCACTGGCGCCTGTCGCAGTTGCCGACGTGGAGCAGCTTCGCTTGGTCGCACAGCAGGCGGCAGCGGGGGTGGAGGAGCTTCGCGGCACTTTTGGCGGCCAGGTGGCGGCTTTGGTGGAGCAGGTGGCGGCTGCACAGCAGCAGGCAGAGCAGGCACGCGGCGGCGTGGAGGATCGGCTGGCCGCTGCTCAGGACGACGCGCAGCTGGCAGCACGGCGCCTGGCAGCCTTGGAAGCAGACTCTGGTGCACTTGCTAGCGTCGGCGCGGTGGTGCCAGCAGCTGCGCTTGCCGAGGTGCAGCAAGAGTGCGAGCAGGCGCGTGTGAGCACGCAGCAGCTGGCTGCGGCGGTGGAAGGGGGCCTCGCCGAGCTGCGGGCTGACCTGGAGCAGCACCGTGCGGCTGTGCTGGGGCAGTGCACCGAGCTGCAGGAAGGCCTGGAGGCTGTTCCTGAATACGAAGGCAGGCTGGCTGCGGTTGAGGCCGGGCTATCCCACGCCACAGAGCGCCTGGCATCGTCGGCTACGGCCGCAGACCTGCACGCGACGGCTGCTCAGCTGCACGACGCCCTCGAGGCGGGGCGGGCGGCTGCAGCTGAGCAAGCGTCGGCGCTCAAGGCGGCGGCCGAGGTTCAGCAGGAGCAGCTGGCTGCGCTGCAGGCCGGGGCAGCGCTGGCTGCGGAGCAGCTGAGCGGGGCGGCGACCGCAGAGGCGGTGCGGCAGCTGCAGCAGGCCACCGAGGCGCGGCAGGCTGAGGTGGCAGAGCAGCTGGCGGAGCTGGGGGGCGCCTTGAAGGCTGCAAAGGTGTCGATGGCGGCGCAGCACAACCAAATTTCAGCGCTGGAGGCTGCAGTCGGGGAGCGCGCTCCGGCCGAGGCCGTGTCCAAGCTGCGGGGCGCTGTGGAGGCTCAGCACATGGTGGTGGCAAAGCAGCTGGGGGAGCTGCTGTCCAGCCTTCAGGCCGCCACAGACGGTCATCGGGAGGAGTTGGAGGGGGCGCGGGCGAGTGTACAGGCGGCGGAGAGCAGCGCAGCAGACGCGCTGGCGGCGCTGCGCCACGCTGTGCAGCAGGCGCAGCAGGAGGCGGCTCAGGTGGGAGGCGGTGGGGTGCGTGCCTGGGTCTTTGGGGCGGTGCACATTTGCTTTGCTCTGCTGCTGTTTGCCACTGGCGGCTGGACCAGATCGCCAGCTCTCTGCTGGCCCCTGCTCATCTGCTGCTCCTGCTTGGTCCCTGCAGGGCATCACCAGCGCCGCCGCTGCGGTGTTATGCCAGGAGGCGGTGCGCCCTGTGGAGGAGCGCTTGGCGGCGGTGCAGCGGCAGCAGGGAGAGGCGGCTGCGGGCAACAGCGAAGCGCTGGCGCACCTGCAGCAGGCACTGGAGGGCCTGCAGGATGGCCTGACTGCCTTCCGCCAGGCAAGCACTGTGCCCAGCCAGCCAGCATGGCTTTAGCAGCTCATAATGGTGCTGGAGTGAGCTTGCAGTTGGTGCCGGCTTTGGCGCTGTCCTACCCTGCTAAATGCGTTCTGCCTTCCACCTGCCATTGCAGGAGCACAGTGTACTGGCTGACACGGTGGGGGAGATGCGGGGTAGTGCGCTGGCGGTAGCGGCGGCGGTGGCGGGGCGCAGTCCCCAGGTGCTGCCGTCGCCGCTGCCGCCGCCAATCGGCGGTCTGCCCTGGACGGCGTCGCCCGTGCCCTCGCTGCCGCTGGGCATGGTGCGCCACACCGATGCGCCTGCATCTTCCGACATAGGTGCGCAATGCGGCTGTCTTTGTTGGCTCATCGCATGATGGGCACATTCAAGTTTACAGCCATGGTCCTGTTGCATTTCCCAAGTGAGCTTTGACAGCGACGCCCTGCGCTCATGTGCACTCGCCCGCCTACCCTGCGTTGCAGCCTCCTTCCCGCTCACTGACCGCACTCTGTACAAAGACTGCGAGTCGGAGGGTGAAGATGAGGAAGGGCAGTGGACCACAGCAGCCGCCCCGCCAGAGGCTCACATGCTTCACCGCCAGCACATCCGGCTGGAGGGTGTGGTGCAGCATCAGGCCGCACGCATTCACCAGGCAAGCAGCAGCGCGCCCTTGGCAGCGGCCGCTTGTCTGGTGCTGGGCCCACACCTTGGCCCAAAGCATCAAAGCTGGCTGCTGGGTGTGGTGGTGTTAATGAGGACAGTATACATACCTTGCTGATCGTTGCCTGCCGGCCTGCCTGCCTGTTGCAGCTTGAGGCGGAGCTGCTGTGCCTGAAGCAACTGCTGATGGGCGGGTCCCCGCTGGTGGCTGGCCGGATGGGTGCCGTGGCTTTGACCCCTGCCGGCCAGCGCTTTTTCGATGCAGAGTCAGGTAGGTTCATGTGCCGCTGTTGGCTGACGACTACCGGGCCCCATCCCAGCTTCCAACAACTGCATGCACACCTGGCGTGCCCTCTTCCCAGCTTCATGCGCCGCTATCCTCCGCAACACTGCTGCCTTGCCTGTGCAGTGCTGGGAGACCCCTCGCCCGCCACTGCTAGCCGCCCCTGGCGCCTGGCGGCCACCCCCGCCGGATCCTCGGCTGCGTGGGCGGCAGTCGCAGGCAGCAAGCTGGCTGCGGCTGCTGCTGTGGCCGATGCCTCGGGCCCACTGGCCTCCCTGGAGACTCAGTTCCACAGCGCCGCTGCTGGGCCCCGCCCCGGATCTGCCGGCTTTGGAGGAGACATCACCAACACCAACAAGGGTGCAGCGCAGTGCGCCGGTGCGGCAGCCAACAAGCCAGCGGCGCCGCCAGCAGCCAACCCCGCTGGCATCATTGTCGGGTAGCGCGGCGGTCCTCGCTGTTGCCGTTGGGCGGCGAGACAGAAGGTGGGCGGCGAGCAACAGGGCGGCGGCACTAGCGGCGGTGGGCGGCGCCGTGGGCTCGTCCGTCTGTAGGTACTGGCACAAGCCCCCTCCACCGTGCTTCAAACCAGCGGCGTGCACGGTTGCCTTCCTGTGGCCTTGCGGGTGATAATTGGCGTACAAGGCCAGTGAGGGCATTGAACTGTGCAGAGATAGCCTGATCATGCCCCCACCCTCCACGCTTGGCGGCGGCAGCTGTACACCTGTCAAATTGCATGTGGTCCTTGTCGAGCCCATTTGAGGCGTAGATCAAGCATCAGGCGAGGAGGCAGTGCTGAAGTTGAATCCCAGTTCCTCGCTCTGGGAGAACGCCATGCCCTGTGGTGCACTCTTTTTGCTGCTGGGAGCCCTGCTGCTGGCTTCCCAACCAATCGGCGTGCATAGCCGCGATTTGAAGCAGGTGAGCCGGTCGGGGCTAGAACCCCAACGCTGACAGGGTCATCGCTCCATGCCAGTGGTCAGAAAGGGATGACCGGGCACTGCACGGGTTGCTGACGTGCAGTGAAGCTACCACCTGCATCCTGGCACCCGCCATGGGCATGCCCGCACGCGCACCATCCACACCCACTCTCCCACCCGCCACGCCGCCCCACCCGCCACGCCGCCCTCGCGTCCCCTGGCGTTGCGGGCTGCGCAAGCACAACCCAACCTGTCTCTTCTGTCAACTGCTTGGCCCACTGTTCGCAGGCAGTGGCCTCATCTGAAGATGTCTTGGATCTTCTGGATGCCGCCAAATGTAGGATCATTCTGCTACTGTTGTTTTTCTCATGTTGCTGCCTCTCCTTCAGGCCATCTGCCGGCCGTGCAGTCCCGGAACCCCCTTCTCCTCTCCATCCCCATCTCCCCACCTGCCTGGGTGTGCAGCTGGCCCATGCGAAGATGACATAAAAGATGCTTTGGGCAACGACTGCCCCATGAGCGCGGATGGCGACATCGACCTGTCCAAAGGCGGCTCTTGCTGCGAGGCCTTGCCCAGAGCAGGCGAAGACTGCTGGGCAGCCATGCAGAGCGAGAGCGGCGCCAAGATTGTGTGAGCGCTGGACTTGCGGCATGGCCCTTGGCCGGCTGCCGCTGCTGTGCTGAATGCCGGTGCTGCTGTTTTGCGCATGCTGGTACATACCACTGCTGTTGGGCACAGTGCAGGAGGGATGTGAAGTCCCGCTGCTCTGCGCTGCAGCGATCATGTGATCAAGAACTGCGATATCGACGTTAGCAAAGCCAGCTTGGTCGTTGCTGAGGATAGCAGCCCCTCGTCACCGCCAGAGGACAGCAGCCCCTCGCCATCCCCCAGCGCCCCCATACCTGCTCCTACGCCTGCACCTGCCTTCGCTCCCTCTGCTGCCGACAACAGCACCATTGGATCCCTGGAAGGTAAGCTGGCTTGCGGCTGCCATGGTTGCGCAGCATTGGCCTCACCAATGCTGCACAGGGCACCAGCTGACCCGGGAGCTCGGTTTTCATCAGGAACTGCTTCAGTGGTGGCTGCCTGGTCCCAGGGTGCCTGCCCACTTTATCTCGCCTTGCCGTTCCACTCGCCCTTGCCCTTTCCTATGCAGGGCTCACCATCTCCGAGCTGGCAGAGCTTCTGGCAGAGCGGCAACAGGAGTGCCTGGCAGGGTTTGACACCGCGCTCAACACCTCCTGCTCCAGCGCCGAGGTCGGGCCCTGCTGCGAGACGTTGGCAGGATTCGGCCCCGACTGCCTGGGCTACATTGGAACCAACATGGCAGACAACTCCGGCTACGAGTATGCCGACCTCTTTGATGCCTTGTGAGCGGGAGCCTGCAAGCGCTGCCAGTGCCTGGTGCTCAGACCCATGGTCGTGCACGCTGTGGTCTGCTGGAGGCGGCAGGCAGCCATGAGGCGTGCTCCCCCGCTCACCCGTCCCCCGCCCTCCGCCGCACCTGCTGCAGCAACCAGACGCTGTGGATTTGCGACCTGGCGGTGGATGTCAATACCCACAGCAGGCTGGACATCGGCGTGGGCCCGTATCGCCCCTCAGCAGGCCCAGCAGATGAGGAGTGCACGGGCGAGCTGGAGGGTGCGCTGGCCATCTGTGCAGACAACTCCACAGAGCGCCTCACATGCTGCTCGGCGCTGGCGGAGCTTGGGCCTGGCTGCCTTGCCACGCTGGAATCGCTAGTCTCCGACGATACGGGCCTGGTGGCAGGCCTGGGAAGAGTGCTTGAGCTGTGCGGCCTTACGCTGAACACTGCCCCCCCTGGAGAAGCCAGTCCCTCCCAGGTGACATGGAGCTGTATGTGGAGAGCTGCCTGTGCCTCGACTTGACCATTTGGGTTCCTGCTGATTGACTCTGGCGGATGAGTGTATAAGCAGGCTGCATGCCCATGCTTTACTCACCAGCCCCGCATGCGTTGCAGGACGTTGGCGGCACACCAGCGCCGGGGCTTGCGCCACTCTTGTCCCGACGCCTGCTGAGGGAAGAGTTGAGTTTATTGTCTGATGAAGCCAGGGAAGATTGACTGCCGGCTGCGCGTAAGTTCTTGTTTAGTCATTGCAACACCAATTCATTCCACATTCCTGCCTGGAGCCATTCTCCTTCCCAAAGCGCAAGCGCTCATTTGTGCTCCCGCTCAGCTCCGCTTTATGTGTCTGCTACATTTGGTTTTGCCATTAAGATAAGAAGAATTGCATGAAGAAAAACAAGCCATCCAATCTTAAATACATGTAGCAGTGTAAAGAAAAAGAAAGGAACTCGAGCATTATATTTCGCTGACCGCTCCTCACTTGCTGTCCTGTACCCTCCACGCCCACTCCCCAAGACGTAATTGCCCGCCCCCCTCCCTCGCTCACGGCCGGTCTGCCAGGAGGCAGTAGAGGTGTGGCGGCAGGCCGCTGCGGCGGGTGCTGCGGCTGCTCATCAGTGGTGAGGTTGCCTCCTCCATCCCCGCCGAGTCGGCAGTGAGCATGCTGAGGATGCGGCGGCTGGTGCCGCGCAGCTCCCACGGCTCGCGCTTCAGCACCTCGGCCGCCGCCTCCTCCATGGCCGCTGGGTCCAGGCTGAGCGCCTACAGGATGTTGCGGCTGGTGCCGCGCAGCTCCAGCGGCTCGCTGTCAAGTACCTTGGCTTTGGAGCGGCGGGTTGCGCTCAGCGCCAGCAGCCGGTTCCTGCGCAGGCACAGCATGTGGGCGTGTGTGTGTGTGTGTGTGTGTGCCTTTTACTGTGTGCACACACGCGCGTGTGGTGGTAGAATGCATGCACGGATCAGGAGCGAGCATGTGCAGCGTCGCTGCCGCCGCAGCATCCCCAACGTGGAGCAACATTGCTGCCCCACCTGGCCATCGCGCCTGCCTGCGGCATCGCCGTGTGCCGCATGCCTGGCGGCAAAAAGGGCGCCAGGGTGGTGGGCAGCCATGCCAGGATGCCCCTGAGGGTGGGGGAGGGGTCCTCATACGGCTCCAGTGGGTCGGTGAAATCAGTTGAGCGAACGGTGCCTGCACCAGGTGGGGTGCAGAAGAAGGGTAGGGGGGCCAAGCATTCGAGGTACTGTGTATTGCGCCATCTCCACTATAGTTGCGGTAATGCCGGTAACAGGAGGCTGCCCTGCCGGCGGGCCTGGCCAGCAGCCGCCGCTCACCGTGCAGGATTCCGGCAGGCTCTGGCCAGCCACGACCGTTGACGGGTAGCTGGTGCATGTGAGCACGGTGGAACCACTCCAGCCCCACCTGCAGTCAGAAGCGAGGCAGGGCTTAGCAGGCCGGCCAGGATGGGGAGGCGTCCGCACAGGACACAAGGGAGCAGCAGGGTGCACAAAGGCGGCGGTCACTCGCCTTAGCCTTGGTGGCCCGCTGATCCCCATGCACACGCGGTGGTGATCCCCACCCACCACCACCACCACACGTACACACACGGCATTTACCTCCGCAAACATGGACATGTGCAATGTACCCCCGCCAGCAGCCCCCCCTATTGCCCGTCCCCCCCACCTGGCACAGCGCCAGGTTGCGCCAGTAAGCCGAGACGGAAGGGGAGCAGGAGGTGGCCAGCGTGTTGAGATGCTCAATGTCCCAGAACACCACCTTGCAGTCGGTCAGGGCCTTGGCGATCATCACCGCGTGATCATGCCGCTCAAAAGCCATGTACACGCCTGCAGGCGCTCACAGGAGATCTTGGAATGAAGGTCATGGGCGGTGGTGCAGAACAGAGCTTGTGGGGTGTTGTGGAGGGGGATGACGATGGGAGGAGTAGGGAACTGGAGCTGTACGGATTTGATGGGCGGGACAGAGGCGGGGTGGTCAGGCAAGAGCAGGCAAGAAAGCACGGCATTCACCAAAGACATTGAGCAGGCCGATGTCAAAAGTGCAGCCGGAGAACAGCGTGGTGTCGTCCCGAATAAGGTTGCCCTGCAGCCAGGGTGGGGCCAAGGCGCACAAGGTTACGTGGGTCTGTGGGCAAAGCGCACAGTCTGTGCTTTACTGTGCTGTGCTGCTGGGCGAGGGGTGCTGGTGTAACTCCCCCACCACCTCCCGCTGGACAGGCCGCCAAGCATGATGAAAGGTGCCACGGTTGCACAACAGGATGCGTGCAAGTTAGGACGCTCCACCCTGCTGGTGCAGGCCTGCAGCTCCCCTGCAAGAGCCGCCAACCTGCTGACCTGGTGGTCTGTGATGCGGAACGACCCCAGCCCATCCACAACCAGCATGAGCTTGTTGGCCGACTCTGTGCCATCCAGCAGCACATCACCCGCCTTGAAGTGCGCAACCTTGGCAAACTTGAGGGACTGCAAGCACGGCAGCACCGCGATTTTGTTGCCAGGTAGGGCGGGAGATGCGAGCGAAGGCCAGGTATGGGCGCTTGAGAATCACCCACCGGCAGCTGGGCTGCAGCCCCTGTTTGAAGGAGCTGCACAGTACCGCAGTCAATCAACCCCATTCACTTCCTCCCCGGCTAAACGCTTGCCGCCAGTCAAACTCGCCTCCTTGAACTCCAGCTTGAACATGCCCGCCCGGCGGTAGAAGAACTGCCACAGCTGCTGCTCCTCGGGATCGCTGAAGGTGATGCGCCGCTCATCCCACAGCAGCCTGCAGGCAGCGGCAGATGGGCAGGGGGAGGTAGATGGTTTTGTGGCCCTGTTGCCATGCACCCCGGAGGCGGTTGGCGTGTATCCCCGCTCCGTGCTAACCTGAACAGCGCGACTCCATGAAAAAAGAGGTTGACGGCGGCCCTGCGGTCAAGCGGCAGCCATGCACGTTGACACGGCCCCGCCAGCCAAACAACCAAGGCGCAGCACGCCGCTGCGCTTGCCACGCCTGCGTCCGCGTGCCCAGCAGCGCCGCCAGCCAGCCAAGCGGCGAGCTCGCACCAGAAGGCTCCGTCCAGCGCGATGTATCCTGGGCGCTGGAGGCTTGGGTAGAGCGGGATGCCAGTGACCGCATTGACCATCATCCACACGTTGGCAAAGACGAGGCAGAGCCGGATGAGCAACAGGCTGCGGGTGCGGTGTGGGCAAACGCCGGCGGCAGCATCGGCAGGCAGGCGTGCAGGCGGCGGCATCGGCAGGCAGACCGTGGCGGATTGTCCCGAGGGAAGCAGCGAGGCAGAGCTTCCTGGCGTGTTGTACTCACTCGCCGAAAAGGCCGCTCAGGCAAAAGCCCAGGCACCCCTACATTAAACACAGGCAACGAGTATGATGCAATATCATGGGAACCCGTCGGGACAGGCGAGCGGCGGCAGGCGGGGGTCGGGGTGGCGGCGCAGGCAGCCCCACAAGACCGCAAAACGTTTGCCCCGAGCCCAAAAGCTCGGGCGAGCTGGGCTTGGGGCAGAACAGACAACACCGACATCATGCACTGACCAGCTGCAGCCAGATGCCGCAGGGTTGCATGATTTCCAGCCCAAATATTGAGGCCATCTTCTCGAGATATCGGGTTGCGGGAGGGGGCGTGCAGGCTGTGGCCCTTGCTTTATGCCTCCGGGTGCCGCGGCCACCTCATCATGCAGGACTCGCAGCGATCGCACAGAGAGTTAGACGGATTGGGAGAACCCCAGTATTGAAACATCCAAGCATTCTCCAAGAGGATGAGGTTGGGGTCGGCAGCTGGAACCGCCACAAGCATTGGAGCTGCTTACGACCTGCAGAAGTTTTGCAGCAGCTGGCAGTGGCGCACTGGGGATGCAGTGAGGCGCATGCTTGCGGAGGCGGTGGTAGCGGGCGGCGCCTTGCCGCCACTCATGGCACTAGCCAAAGCGCTGCCTTCTCGTTGCTGCAGCCATGTAGATGCACCGCGTAGAAGATGCACCGGTGACCTGAGCGGCAAGAGGAAGGGACTCGTGGCTGCCATCGGCATCCTGACGTAGTAACTGCATCAATAATGCCAGCGTGGCGGCCAGGCAGCGCGACCTGTCTCCTCCCCTCCCCAGCGCCAGGCCGATCACCAGCCACGACATTTTGTGTCCCCAGCTAGCTTGCAGTACGTACGTCCTGCAGGAGATGGCGGCAGTGGAGCTCGCAGGGAATTGTGCGCGCCTGGTGATGCCTGCAACATTCTGCATGGTGGGGACACAAAAATGTCATGGCTGGTGCAGATGGGCCGCTGGAGGCGGTATGGGAGCTCATGTTCAGCCGCCACGTGATGAGATACATGGAGCGCCAGGTAGCAGCCAAGAGCCGTGTGGCGCACGCAGCTGGGGCGACCAAGCATTGTTGAGCTGCTGCAATATCCATCTCTGTAACTCGCTCAGCAGCGAGCTGGCATGCCACCTGGATTGTTAGGCACCCTGTCAAGAGCATCAGCGCTTCACTGCTCCTCGCTGCTGCCTGCCACTGTGGTGAAGTAATATCGTATTCGACTACAAACCACAGTCCAGACTACATATATAGCAGGGCGGTGCCTCAGGTGCGCACAATAATCCCCAGCGCTGATGTCCCCAGTGGATCAGAATAGGAGGGAGCAGAATGAGAGATTGCAACGCTAAGTACACGGAGTCGGGGCGGGCAGAGAGGATATTTAATTGCAGGGCATGTCTAATCGCAGATGGAATCAAATGGCAGAGGTGGGTCAGCAGAATGGGGTCGGAGGAATGAAATTGTGCAGGGCGAAAGGCGGGCAGGCAAAAGTGGCCGTCGGCTACCAATCAGAGAGACAGCTAGGCTACAACCAGGGGGAGACGTACATGGCATCGCGAGTCAATTGGGGTTCTTCTGGGGGGAGAGGGAGCTTTCCTTCTTGGGAATTAGGCGGTGAGGGTGGGTGCGGTAGGTGGGTGGGTCTCTTCGGGTTTGCGGGATCGCCAGCCATCGGGATGCGATGCGCCCGTGTGGCACTCACACAGTGCTGGTGCCGGCCTTTGCCAGGGCATCCACCTTGGAGGACAGGTCGGCCACCTCGGCCTTCAGCCTCTCCAGCTCGTCGCTGTCGGAGCTGCTGCTGGCAGCATCGCCCTTGGATGGGAACACGCCCTTGCTGGCTGGGGCCGTTGCGCCGGCGCCGGTCTCAGGGGTCAGGCCGTGGTACACAGAACCTCCATAGTGGCTGGTGTCGCAGCCCTGCACAGTCACGCACAGCAAGGAGGAGGTGAGCCAGGGCGGTTGGAAGCTGAAACATCCTGTTAAGTTCAGCACCCACCTCGGCCTCCACCTCGGCGCTGACGCGGAAGAGGCCGGCCATCTTCAAGGCGAAGAAAAACATGCCCATGAGGCCGCCCACCCAGCCGATGATGGCCAGCACATAAACCAGCTGCAGCAGGCGGGGACGTGGCAGAGGGAGCGAGGCAGGCATTCAGGGCACTGTAGCTTGACGCCTGCACATGGCACGGCTCAGCAGGGCTTGAAGGCAGGCAGCCAGTTCGGCCTGGCGCTGGCCGGCACGCACCTGGGCAGCAAACAGCTTCCCGCCGCCGCCGTAGAAGCCACCATAAAGGCGCACACCGTCCTCGGTGCCGGGCATGGTGCCATAGGTCTGGGCCACGAAGCCTTCGGTGGCAAACAGGCCGTTCTGCGGGAACAAGGCAGGCAATCAAGGCATTCGTGCCCAACGCACTGGGGCCTGCTGTCAAGCAGCAAGGATAGGGCCGCAGCAGCAATGGCAGGAAACCAGAATGCGACCGGCTTGCTCCACAGGCGCAGCTTCGCCCAGGCGCTCACCGCCAGCACGCCCCAGATGCCGGCCCAGCCGTGCACGGCGATGGCGTCCACAGGGTCGTCAATCTTCAGGATGTGGGAGTTGAGGTAGCTGCAGGTAGGATGCAGATAAAAACAATAAGGTCAGATGACGAAGAGAGAGGAAGGGGATAAAAGAAGCCATTGTTTGTTTTTTTGTTTTTTTACCTGCCGCCAAGATACACCCAGGCTCCACACATGCCGATGATTATGGCCGCCCACGGCTCCACCTGTTACAGTCACCCCGTTATGATAGGCAACGTGAGCAGGCTTGGGCAGGGGCGCACGTGATCAAGGGGCATCAATCATCGGAAGAAGGGGTGGACCATAGAGCACCCTCTCCATGGCTGCAGCCACCCTCCCCCCAGCTGAGCGTCCCAGGGTTACCCCACCCTGGGCCTGCTCCCCGTCCTGCCGGACACGCACCCCCCATGACGTGGTGGGGGTCGTGGGGATCCTTAGCAGCCCATGCCTGCCAGGCCGACGGCTGCCGATGCTGGTGCGGGCTCCCGGCGGCAGGCAACGCACCGTGGCGCAGGGGGCGGTGATGGCGACCAGACCGGCCAGCGCTCCGTTTGCGGCGACCATGACGTCCCACACCACCTTGCCAGTTGTCTTGTACTGGATGAGCTGCGCTCGGGAGGATGGTGTGTGCATGCATGGTCGGCACAGCTCTGTGCATGGCCCATCAGGGGGAGAAAGCTACAGCTGCGACATTCAAGCGCAGCACAGGTACCCGGAACTGGCCTGGTCCCATGGCTGCCGAGCCCAATGCCAGGCTGTCTCACCACGTGTGTGAACAGGGTCATGATGCCCCCGGCGGCGCCGCCCAGGGTGGTGGTCACGCAGACGCGGGCCACGATGGCGCTGGTGCCGTTCATGACCATCAGGGTGGAGCCGGGGTTGAAGCCGTACCTGTGGCGCAAAGGTGGCAGGACGATCGGGTGGCATCAGACGGGTGGTCACTGCTGCTCAAAGGGCTGCCTGCTCACCTAGTCTCCGTCAATAGCTGTGGCACGGCATACTTGCCAGCCCTCTGCCCTTGTACTGCAAGCAAGCTCACCAGCCGAACCAGAGGATGAAGGTGCCCAGGACGGCGAGGGCGACGTTGTGGCCGGGGATAGGCACGGGCTTGCCGTTGGCATCAAACCGCCCCATGCGTGGCCCCAGCAGAGCGGCGCCCGCAAAGGCTGCCACGCCGCCCACCATGTGCACGGCGCCGCTGCCGGCAAAGTCGTAGGCGCCGCAGCCAAACAGCAGGCTCCTGAACGTGCCGTCGGCCTGCTCGCTGCGGAACGCAGAGGCCCAGCCGCTGGGGGACCAGACCCAGTGAGTCACGACGGGATAGACAAATCCTATGATAAGGACACTATAAAGAATATACGAAACGAAGGTTGCGCGCTCGGCCAGGGCGCCAGACACGATGGTGCACGCGGCGGCAGCTGCAGTCGGGCAGGTCGGTGGGCAAGGGTGGGCAGAGTGAGTTGGTGTCGGTGAGTCGGTGGCAGGGCCGCGGTGGCGGGGCCGCGGGGCCAGCGCGCCATCGACAGTCGACGCCCCGCCGCCAGGGCAAAGGTGAGTCGCAGCGCCCAGGCACAGACAGGCGTACGGCCGAGCCCCACTGCACTTCCGGTTGCGCTTAGTGTTCAGTAGCAGCAGGCTGGATACGCACCGAAACAGAACTGGAAGAACCAATTGTAAAGCATTCTGCAGTAGGAAACGCAAACAGAAGAGGAGACACACACAAAGGAGGAGGCAGGTCGGTCGCATAGGAGGCGGTCGCTGCACCTGCGTGGCGGCGAGGAGAGGGCAGCTGCTTCCGGCGGCGGGCGCTCACGTGGGGTCCAGCCCGCCCAGTGCAAATTGGCTTGTGCCGATGAAGCTGTTGCCGTCGCCAATGAGCAGGCCCGCCAGGCCCCAACCCAGCAAGAAGTAAACCAGGGCCGCGACGCAGGTGTCCATTAGGTTTTTCAGAATGATACCTCGAGCATTGCGGGCGCGCACGCTGCCGGCCGTCAGCATGCAGAAGCCCGCTTGCATCAGGAAGACAAACACGCCTGCGCAGGACACGTGGCACATGAAGCATGACTCTCCATTGACACCAAGCTGCTTGATGGCAGGTGCAAACGCCGTTGGAGGAAAAAGGTCTTGGCAGCGGCAGCGGCAGCCAATGAGCAGGTCGAGTCTCACCCGAAATGATGACATAGGTGGCGTTGATGTCGGCGGTCGCAGGTGCAAAGGCTTCGGCAAACTGATCCTCAAACGTCAGGGGGACACTCTCCTCCGCCATGGCTGTCGTTTCCTCCTGCAGCTGGCAGGCAGGCAAGTAGTAGCGTGTCAAGTGACAAAGCTTTCACCGTCCCCCCTGACCAACTGCAAACAGGCCGCATGCAAGAAATTGCCAGGTGTGGGCGGACACTCCCGAGAGACGGGCGGCGGCAGCGCAGCGGGGGCGCAGCGCCGGCGGCGCGCGGTCCCATCAGTTAACTGCTGGCGGGCACTGCCGCCAGGCGCCCCCCAGGTCCCAATTAGGCACATTGCAAAAAGTGCGGGTTGACCCAAGCCAGCTGGGGGTGGTTCCCAGCACTTGGGAAGCTGCCTTCGATCGATCGCTGGGGCCCTTGCTCTTCAAAGGGGGAACGGAACCCCTTGCCACCAAGCCCCCAGCCTTGCAAGCTCCTACTGGCGCCCAGCGCAGCGCGCACCTGGCGCGTGAAGCGTGTGGTAGAGCCCTGGTGTGGTGGACCACTGCTGATGGGAGGGGTGCAGGGGTGCTGCAGCCTCTGTTCTTTGTGCGAAACACGACAGGAGGGAACAACCGGCGGTGCAACGGCCTTGCAAAACTCGAAAAGGAAGGGCTGTGCGGAGGTGGCCTCAGCAGGCCTTCTTCTGACCACAGCAGTGGGTGCTCCCCACGTGTTCACTGCAACTTCAATCTGGAGATTAGGCAGCCTGATCGACCAGCGTTTACTCTCTGGCCGGCCTGCGCAGGAAGCCAGAAATGGGTGGGTGGGGCCAGCCTCGCCTCTCAGGGGCACCCGCTCGTCGCTGTCCTGGCCACTCTGCCGCCGCGGACCACCTGCAAGCGCCCGCTGAGCCTAAAACCGCTAGGGCTTTTACCCCTGGCTTGGGGATCGAAGAGCGCCTAAAAGCTGGGAAAAGCTCAAGAGGCAGTGAAGCCGCATCCACACCAGGAACCGAGCCTGCACCCGGCGATCATGGGCGCCCTCTGGTCATTCCTCTCAGTCTGCCCAGATGCCGCCGCCTGCCGCTGCCGCCGCTGCAGGCAAGGGGTATGGCCACCCGCTGGATCCCATCACAGCGGACGAAATCAGCGTGGCGGCGGCAGCCTGCAAGGAGAAGGCCACCGCACTGGGCCTGGGGCCCCTGCAGTTCAACACCGTGACGCTGAAGGAGCCCGGCAAGAAGGCGCTGATTGCGTGGCAGAAGGCGGGCTGCCCCGAGGACGGGGCGCCGCCGCGCGAGGCATTCTGCATCCTGCAGACCCCCGGCACCGGTGAGCTGCGCAGGTGCCGGACCGCTTAGCTGCCCCTGCATGGCCGCCTTCCGCCCCTCCTCGGCCTCCCGCCCCCAACAAACAGCATGCCCGCTGCCGCCGCTGATGGTGGTCTGCAGTGGAGGCTGTGGTGCTGCTGTCCGAGCCGCCGATCAAGGTGACGAGCTGGACGGAGGTGGCAGGGGTGCAGCCGCTGGCCACCCCGGATGATTGTTTCGATGCGGAGGACATTGTGAAGGCAGATCCCGAGGTTCAGGTCTGTCGGCTGGCCCCGCTGTTTGAGTCCCTGCCTTGCTTTGCGCCACTGCTGCTCTCCTGCTCGCCGTCCCAGCGGCCCGCGTTGGGCGCAGAGATGCTCCGCCGGCGCTGCATCAGGCTACCATTTGCTGGGCCTCCTCTTGCTGATCATGAGCTAATGGCTGCCCTGTTGGTGCGTGTGTGTTTGGTGTGCGCAGCGCATGCTCAAGGAGACGTACGGCATTGCAGATCTGGCGCTGGTGGCATGCGACCCCTGGTCTGGTGAGCGTGCTGGCTAGTTTCTGCATCCACGCAACGCATCGCTGAGCAGTGCAACCAGCTGCAGCCCCTGCCCCCCCCCCCCCCCCCCCCAGCAACCTCTTATTGCGCCAGGGCAAGCATGCAACCTGATTCATGTGGCATTGAGCCGCCTGCTGCGCCCTGCCGGCGTCCCTGCCTTGGCCCGCAGTGCACCTGGCGCCCATGGGAGGCCGTCTGATCCAGACCTTCATGTATGTGCGCTCCTCCCCCGACGACAACCACTACGCCCACCCTCTCGACTTTGTCCCGATTGTTGACCTGAACAAGGGCAAGGTGGGCAATGCGGGGTGAAAGGTGTTCTGGTTGGGTGTTGTGGATGTGAATGATTGTGGTTTCGAGCATCACCGGTGCCGAGGGCTGGCTGGGCGCCTGCGCCTGGGGCAGCGCGCTCGGCCCCGCGCGTCTGGCCATGCCACCCTGCTGCCCTCTCACCCGGCCACGCCTGGCTGCCGCAGGTGGTGCACATCGACAAGCCCTATGGCGACTCGCCGCCCAAGATCCCCTCCACCAACGTCAACTATCACAGGTTGGTTGAAGATCGGGTCACCTCAGCTTTGTTTGACGCTTGCTGTGCCCTTCTGCGTGAGCCAATGTGAGCCGCCCGATCGTGCTGAGCGCGTGCCGCCCCGTGCTGTGCTGCGCTGAGCTGCGCAGGAACTTGTGTGAGGTGCCATTCCGAACAGACGTCAAGCCGCTCAACGTGGTGCAGCCTGACGGCGCCTGCTGGACGGTGCGCAAGCAAAAGGGGCAGAGAGGGTGTTGACAGCAGAAAGGGTGGTTTGCCTCCGGGGGTGCGCTGCATCATTCCTCCACCGTCCACCTGCTTGCCTGCCTGCCCCGTGCAGCTGGAGGGCAACCTGGTGCAGTGGCAACGCTGGAACATCCGGCTGTCGTTCAACTACCGCGAGGGCCTGGTGCTGCACGATGTGGGGTACCAGGATGGCGGCCGCCTGCGCCCCATCATCCACCGCATGTCGCTGGTGAGCCCGGGCTGGGGTGGAGGCGGCGGCCTGGGGAGAACCCAGCTGGGCTGGAGCCACAGCCTGAGCTGGAGATGCCGGCCTGTGGCTGGGTCGAGCGCGGGGGTGGTGTTTTTGGTGGCGCACTTTGCGTGTTGGGGACGCCATCCGCTGCGCAGGCAGCAGACGGCGGAAGGCTCAATCGACAAACCCTCGTTCTCCGCCGCTGCCTGCCTGTCCGCAGGTTGAGATGGCGGTACCGTATGCCGACCCCAACGCGCCCTACACCCGCAAGTGCGCCTTTGACGTGGGAGGTGAGCGCCTGCACCTCCTCACCAGACCGCCTCCCGCCCGGGCGCCATGGCGCTCCACCTGCCTGGTTTGCTGGACGCGCAGTGGGATGTGCCTCCCTGCACCGCAGCCCTGAGCGCTGCTCCGGCTGCGCGACCCTGTCCCCCAGTAGCCTGTCAGCCTGCCTGCCCGCCTCATGTCTTGACCTGCCTGCCTGCCCTGCCCCCCTTTCTCCCATGGCCCGAGCAGATTACGGGCTCGGCAACTGCGCCAACAGCCTGGAGCTGGGGTGCGACTGCCTGGGCAACATCCACTACTTTGATGCGGTGCTCAACAACAGCAAGGGTGGGCGGCCTTGCGCTGCGCTGTTGTGGGTGGAGGTGGCGGCAGTGGTGGCTAGTGGCGGCTTGCGCCGCTGCCGGCGTGCCTACCGCCTCTTTTCCTCCCTCCCTCCCTCCCTCCCTCCCTCCCTCAAAAACTCGCGCCACCCTGCCCCTGCCGCTCGCAGGCGAGCCTGTGTCCCTGAAGAAGGCTGTGTGCATGCACGAGGAGGACTACGGCATCCTGTGGAAGCACTTGGAGTACCGCAACGGCCACGCCGAGGTGCGCCGCTCCCGCCGCCTCGTTCTTTCTTTTGTCGCAACGGTGGTCAACTACGAGTACGCTTTCTACCACTACTTCTACCAGGTGGGCAGGGCGGGTGTGGGCGTGGATGCGTGCGGCGGGTGCCGTGATGTGAGCTTGTGCGTGCGGGCTTGTGCGGGCTAACTGGGCCGGCGCAGGCGCGGGGCGGATGTTGCTGCTGGGCGTCAGTCAGGCATGAGGCTGCGGCTCAGCTTTGCCCTGGTGTGGCTGCGTGCAGGATGGCACTATCGGCTACAAAATCAAGCTGACCGGGGAGCTGTCTACCAACCTGGTGTCACCAGGTCAGCACAGGGCATGTGCACCGTGTGGCGCATTGGAGCTAGCTAGTGTGTTGGGGACTTGGCCGCGGCAGATGGGTGGCCGTGCTGCCCATCCGGCAAGGCTTGGCTTTCCTGCTGGCCGCCCCACCGGCCCACCCACCGCGACCCACCGCCACGTGCCGACTGTGTGCAGGGGAGGACCCCGCCGCGCCGGCCTGGGGCACGCTTGTTGCACCTGGCGTTAATGCCCAGTTCCACCAGCACATGTTCAGCATCCGCATCGATCCCGCGGTGGACGATGGCGACGGCGGCGCGGGGCTGGTGGTGGCAGAGGTGCGGCGTCGCCAGCTCGCCGCCCGGCTGCTCGCGCGCCGCCTGGCCCTGGTGCCTGCTCGGAGCCACGGGCAGCATGGCAGCACTGAAAACCAGAGCCAGGCTTGCTGCTGCTCTGCACGACCCTCCCGCCCGCCACGCTCTCCTCTCCAGGTGGATGCTGTGGCGGTGCCCAAGGGCCCCGACAACCCGGCTGGCAACGCGTTCACCGTGAAGGAGACAGACCTGCTCAGCGAGTCAGGCACGTGGTGATGGCGTGTGGTGGTGCTGGCATGGGCAACACACACCATGCAGTACCTGTGTGGCACTGGCATGTGCATGCAGCAGCGTTGGCTGCTGCATGTCGGGCTGCCCGTGGGCGATGGCAAGCACCAACGGCATGCACGCCTGTCAAAACTTGCCTGGCGTGCAGAGGCGCAGCGGGAGTGCAACGCGGCGGTGGGGCGGTACTGGAAGATTAAGAATCCGGGCTCCACCCATCCCGCCACTGGTGAGCTGCTTACATATCGCGTGTGTGCCTGGTGGCTGCTACCGGCTGCTCCTGAGCCGCGGCACGGCACGGCACAGCAGATGGCCGTGAGCATGTGCCCCTCGCACGATCGTCCAGAATTTGCTGCGCACCAGCTGAACTGGCCCTCATGCCCGGCATTCCCATCGCTGCACCCCTTGTGCAGGCAAGCCAGTGGCGTACAAGCTGGTGCCCACCCACAGCCCGCTGCTGCTGGCGGCGCCCAGCAGCAGCATCGCCAAGCGCGGCGTGTTTGCCACAAAGCACCTGTGGGTCACGCCACACGGGGACGATGGTGAGCGCCCGGGGGGACCGGTGTCCTGCAATGCACCAGTGCAGCGGCATGGAAGGGTGACCCATCTCCTGCAGAGTCCTCAGCCGACACGTCCGCACCGCCCGCGCCCCCCACCCGCAGAGCGCTACCCGGCTGGAGACTACCCCATGCAGCATGCCGGCGGCGATGGCCTGCCCAAGTGGACAGCGCAGGTGCGTGCACACGGCAGCCAGCAAACAGCAGTATGCTGGTCGCCTGCCTGCACAGTGAAGACTTGTCGGCGCAGAACACCCCGATCATCATTGTGCTTTGATGCGGCGCACCCACCTGACGCCTGCCCCGCAGAACCGCAGCCTTGCGTGCGCCGACCCTGTGATCTGGCACAGGTAATGAAGCAATGTGCATGGTTGAGGGCGCCCATGACAACCCACGCAGTCAAACAACGTCTGCTTGACTGTTGTTTCTCTCCTCCTTATTGCAGCTTTGGTGCCACGCATGTGCCCCGTCCCGAGGACTTCCCCGTGATGCCCTGCGAGGTGGTAGGCTTCCACTTGAAGCCCTTTGGCTTCTTTGATTACAATCCGGGCCGCGACCTGCCCCCAGGACCCAACAAGGCCAGCACGCTGGCCAACGGCTGTGCCAACGGCTGCACCAATGGGGCGGCGTAGTCGGCTGGGCAGCAGGCAGCATGGGGGCGAGGCAGGCGACCAGCCATCGTGCCGCCATTCCGGCTGTGCTTTGGCTGCACCACAGCCATTGTGGACTCGTGACCAGTACCCTGTTTTTCATTTCATTTGCATAGGCTGCCATTCCACCTCACCCTGCCTCTGTGCTGGTTTGGATGGCCATTACAGGTAGGTCCCTATGTAACTGCATGCCGTTTGGCGCACGTGCGTTTGAGAAGGAGAGGCCGTGCAACGCAGGCCTGCCCATCTCCAGGCGGATGCTCCTTGCGTTCAAGGCGGTGCCCAGCCAGCACGAGGCAAGGAGGCAGGGGCCAAATTGTGCTTGCCCTGATGCGGGTGGCGGCAGTGCTGGTAGCAGCAGCAGCATGGAAGGAGCAGCAGCTGCGGCAAGCTGGCGACTGGCTGAGGCGCTGTTAAGGGACACATTTGTTCAAGTCTGTAGTTGGATTACAGCCAGTAAGAAACAGTAAAGCACACAAGTGACTGATCACGCGCCCAATGTGGGACTCAAAGTAGAAATCATTGAATATCCATTACAGTCAAGCACACAAGTAGAAATCCAGTAATAGAAAGTTCTCTTGACATGAGAAAGGGACTATAAAAAGCTCGAAAGCTCGGAGTTCAGAACTTAATTTCAGTTCTGCTCAACGCCAAATTGCACATCCGATCACGCCAGCACCAATGCGGTGCTGAGCTGACTCGTTGCGCGTTTTGCCAGCGCTGGCAGCCCAGGCAGGAAGGCGTTGCTCAGGGCCAGAAGTTGCATTTCAGCATGTTCTCGTCCTCCTGCAGCAGGCGCAGCAACCCAAGGAAAGTGTGGGCCAGAGTCGTGTCTAATGGTGCATTGGTGGCAAAGCAAGCGCAGGAGCAGGCAGCGAAACGTAGTCGTGCATGGCACAACATGTGGCAGCATGGGGCAGTGAAGGTGGGCTTGCTTACCAATTGATGAATGGGAACATTCTTGGCCACGGGATGCTCCCACATGGCCTGTACCTGCACCAGCACTGAGCGGCGACAGTATTGCCCATTGCCCACTGCCACCAAGTCATCGGCCGTCTCCTCAACATGCCCATCCTGCCTGCCGGCACCGCCGCCGTTCACCTCCTCCTGCCCGCCCCGCCTGGCATCTGCAGGAGGCGCCTCCTCCATGCCTGCCTGCGCTGGCTCGCCGTGCTGCCTGCTCTTGGCACCCTCAGGTCCCTGCACGCGATGGTTGACATGCGGCCATAACTTATTGAAGGCGCAGGGCCAATCAGGCTGCGCAACACCGCCGCTACGAGCGGCGAGCCTGATAGGCGCAGCCTGGCCACCGCCTGCAGCACTGCTCCCGGGAGCAGGAGGCAGCTAGCTGCTGGAGGCAGGACTCACATCCCGGATGATGGGGGAGTTGATGGCACAGCCGGGAGCCGGCGAGCTGCCGTCCTTCCAGCTGGTGGTGTTGAGGCGCCCGAAAGTGGCCACATCTTGTGGTGCCCCCTGAGGAACAGCAGCAGGTGGTGCCGCTGCTGCGGCAGCGAGCGCAGGTATGGTGCCGGAGCTCGCTGCTGCTGCCAGTAGGCAGGCCAGGTTGGGTGGCGGCAGCAGGTACTGCGCTGCTTGCACAACGTTGGCGTCAAACACCCCGCCCTGCAGTGCCACCTGCAGCATTTGATACCACTGCAAGCATGACGAGGGAGGGCCGTTGGCAGGCGTTCTTGGGTGCACACAAAAGGACGGCAGTTGGCAGGCGATTGTGGCAGGATAGAATCACAGAACTGCGGCGCAAGGTGTCAGCATCAAATGTTGATAACTCGCCGTTTTAAGCTTTTGCAGAGCGGCCAGATCGTGCTGCTGCTGCTGCTGCTTCAGCATGGACTGCTGATTGGCACTCACAGCGCGTCGCGCATTCTGCACACCACAACCGAGGTAGCATGAATGTTCTCTGGGGCCTCGAGATGAAAAGTCGTCTGGGTTTGGCACTATGCAGGCAGGTTAGCCAAGGGTATGCAACAGAGAGCACTACACTCGCCAATCCCACCTGAACAGCCTGCAGCCAGCCTTGCTTGATATTTCTTGCAGGCTCCGGCATGCCAAAGCCAGCTGCACCCTGCACCAACGCCAACAGCAGCAGCAGTGTCAATGCAATGCTTCAGTGTCGCTTCGGTGACAAGAAAGCATCGCAATGCAACAGCCCAAGGCCCGCTGGTCTGGTCTCCCGCCACACTTCCTGCCCCCAAGCTGCCTCCTCGTAATGAGTGCACACAACCCAACCTGTCCAGTTGATGCCACACCTGAGCCTTCATGGCCGTCACCAAGGGGTGATCCTGGTGCATGAAGTTGGCGGCAGCCCACACCAGCGCCGCATCCTGCAGCATCATTGAATGTGCAGGTCATGCAGCATGATGAGAGCTTGCCAGCAGGTATGCATCATGCAGCCAAGAGTTCCATGCACCTCGCACTCCCAATCGTGCTGCCGCAATGCCAGCGCTCCTGGCAGGTTCTCTTGCTTCACTCACCTCCTGCTCCCGGTCATCCAGGTGGCTGAGATCACACAGGCGCGCCAGCAGAGCGCACATGTCGCTGATTAGGGGAGCACAGGCCACCGACTGCGCCCGCTCCCCTGTCAGGTCGCCAGGCAAGTCCTGCATGCAGGCAGAGGGCTGTCCCTCAATACGTGGCCAGCCGCCAGGCTGAGCAGCCAAGGGCGCAGAAGGTGCCGCCAAAGGACAGCCAGCACGACCACCGCACCTCTGCCGCAGCAGCAATGCGCGCCCAGCACTGGAACACGTCCAGCATATCCTCCTCCGAGGGCCGCAGGCACGGAAGCACGCCCACGTGGTGGGGTTCCTTCAAATCTTGGAATCCCAGCAGCAGGGCCCAAGCCCCCAGCCAGGACACCTGCAGGGGTGCCAACAGGAGGCAGGTGCAGAGAGCATATCAGCATCACTCGGCAGGCTTCCAGCATGGCTGGGCTGGAGCTCCCGGAGCAACCAAATGATTGAGTTGCAGTTGGCGAGAGAGGGAAGGTGGCAGTTCCGAACTACGAAACAACAGGTAGCGTGGAGTTGACCCGCACCGGCAGGTGGCGATCAACCCTGGGCTGGATGGTACCGCGAATAGTGTTGCCGTAGCGGTGCGCCTTCAGCACCTCGAGTATCAAGTGACGCATCAACTGCACCCCCTCGGTTCTGCGGGACACCGAGCAGACGTGGACGAGGCAGTCGAATGACAGAGGGAAGAAGGCGCAGGCGGGACTGAGAACACACAGGCACAGGAAACAAGGTATCTTCAGCAGCGGAAGCATCCCCGATACGTCACATCAGCCCCTGCACCTGTCCTGGTCCAGCTTGAGCATCCGGATGACCTCAAACGCTGGCACTGCCGCGCCCTCGGCCACCAGCCATATCTGCAGGACACTGAACGAGGGATGCTAGCAGCGCCACAACCAGCACAGACAATGCGTTTCAACAGGACCAAGACACGCATGCTCAACAGGCGGACGCCGCTGGCCCCACCTCGGCAAAGATGAAGGACAGAGAGTAGAGATCAGCGGTAGCATCGAAACAGCTGTTGCAGACCGCCATGGAACCCCACAGCCACGTGCCCGCAAGTTTGTGGCACCTGCCAGAGGGCAGCACAGCTCGGGCAGCGCGGGCGCAGCGAATGCAGAAATGGCAGGTCATTAATGGGTGCCATGCACAGAGCATAAGAACGTGGACCTGGCCCAGCTGCTGCTGCGGTGCATGCAGTGCCGGCAGAGCTCAAGTGTTGGCCACCAATACCCACCCACCGCGCAGCATCCTTCAGAGTGCGGATGGGCTGCGCCATGGCGGGGTCGGCAAACAGCAGGCGCATGCCGCCACCGGGGGCGCAGTCATCCACCAGCAGGTTGGAGGCGGTGAGATCCTGCAGCATCATCGCCAGAGGAGGCATGTGGATCTTGCGCAGCTCCGCCAGCAGCGTGGCCAGTTCGTCTGCACAGGGATATGGGGAGCGGATGCCGGAAGTCAGCAAGATTGATCCCTGCAGCTTGGAACGCCAGTCGACACAAGCGCGAGAAAGCCGCCTGTTGCTGCTGGTTCACCTGACAGAAAACGCAAATTCAGAAAATGCTGAGAGACAGACACTGGCACGCGCCTGCAGGAGGGTAGGTGGGCAGGAGGGTGGCCAAGCCAGGTGACATTAGGGGCACGCAGGCCTCCCTGCTGCTGCTTGTGCATCAGCCTGATGGATCCGCTTACCGGTGGCAGATGTCCTTTAGCAGGGAGCCCACAGAGCCCAGCTTGTAGGCATGCATGATGTAGGTGTGGGTTGGCTGCACCGCGGCAAAGACACGACGAGGTTGCTCAGCAGCTCTGCAGGGAAACATGGAAGGCGAGTGTGCTGGCGCGGCCTGCTGCCCAAGACTCACCTCAAACCAGCGGGTGGCGCGCAATTCGGCACAGTCCAGCCATTGGCCTGACCACCGTGACATTGCCAGCGGCTGAACTACGCGATCACTGCAGCCATTGTTGTGCAAAAGGCGCAGAGCATTCATCTCGACTCTCAAAGCCTTTTTACCAAACACGTCTGGGATAATTGGGGCAGGGTGGTACACATGGGGATAGGAATCAGTGATTACACACAACTGCACCGCTGAGCTGCACTGGCAGGCGGCTTGTGGATCTATCCTGCTACCACTTGCCTGCCTGTTTGAATTCCTCCAGGGTGTTGCACTCCGAGAAGCGTCCGCCTCCCAGGGACAGCAGACAATGCTTGATGGCCACAGGCTGGCCATTGCGGATGTGATGGGGGTATCCCGGCAGGTTCTCCCACTCCACAAGATGCACCTGCGCCAGGTAAGTGGCAGTCAGCAAGGCGTCTGACCAAATGTTGGCAAATCGTCGCCGCATGCTGCTCCCACCTCTGCTTGCTCGCCGTATGCCACGTTGTGGCGGCGCTTTATATTGTGCACTATCTCCGCAGCTCCCAGCTCCGGCAGCAGTCTTGTGCCAAAGTTCTGCGCCGCATGAGGGCACGTGCATCTGTTTTTGGAGCCAGCAGACGGGCAGGCGGGTGGGTGCAGCGCCGCCGCCGCTGGCCGCTGCACCCCTGCGGCTCGGATGCTGGGCCAGCCTGCAGCATGCTGCTGTGCACGTCCAGGCGCACCAGGCCCGCGAGGGTGCCGTCAAGTTCTTTGGTGTCGGCCCCCCACTCCTCCACCGCCCGGGCCTCCCGCCCTGGACGCTGCTGCAGGCGCATCATCGGATGGAGCCCGTCACAAGACAACAGCAGCTGGGGATGCGCCCTGCGGAAGAAGGCAACGCTGTGCCCCTTCATCATTGGACACCTTCGTCATTGGTTCTTCACCCGCGCCATTTCGCGTCACTCTCGGGCGTGAATACAGCGTCTACTGGGATTACCCGCGGCCAACTCCCCGCCACTCAAAGTTTTCGTTCGAGGCCAACCGACCATGCCTTGCAGCCCCCCACAGCCCCAGGCGGGGACCCAGGTGAGCAGGAGACCGCCCTGGCCCCCGGTGCGGGGCGTCTGAGGGCCCAATTGCGATGTGAGCGTGCATCGCCAACGGCGCCTGCGCCATTCGCTAACCCGGCATCAAGTGCAGGGGCCCCCTCCATCTTCCTGCTGCGCATGATTGCCTGAACAGCTCAATAAATGGCAGGCTCCCCTGCAATTCTGCCCAGCTCGGAGCCGGCACCCGCAGCTCACAGCTAACAACCAACCTGTATTCTCAACCCTTCCTGACCGTGCAGGAAAATGACTCGATTTTTCACGTCAAAGGAAAGGAGTCAAGGCGTTTGATAGACCGCGACAACGTCCCCGAGACGCACACCATGTTCAAGGAGGCAACTGCGCAAGTTGTCTCCAAGACTGCCCCAGCGCCTGCGCCCGATGCTGCGGTGGCACTGTGACAGCAGAACAGCTCCCCTGCCACCCCAATTCCCAATTCCCAACCCACAAATTTTACTTTTTCGAACGATCGAATCAATCAAAGCGCGCCCGCGGATATTCAAACAGCCTGCAGATATTTTCATATCAGCAGACTGACTTTTCACCCACCTGTCACAGATTTTCCCTCGCCCGTTCGGTTTTTTGCCGACAGCTGGCTAGCAGCCAGACTATATAAGGAGCCTCGATGCCCTGGCAAGATCATCTTTTCTCTCCCTTTGTGCTGGAGTGCCCCTGTGTAATAACAGGCGCCCGCCGCCCCAGCCCCGCCCGAAGGAGAAGGATCCTGCCGCTGCGACCAGCGCTCGGCAGTCACCCCAGCGCTCTCACGAGGCTCCCCGCTCTCACACAAAGACAAAACAGGCCGGCCGGAACCTTCTGGACCCGCGCCGCCTTTTTGCACCACAGGCACCATTCGTAGCAACGGCGCAGGCCATCGCGGAGCGCGACGAGGGCGCTGAGCAGCCCACCGCCCAAGACCTGCTCCAGGACGCGGTGGACAACCTGCAGATCAGTCTTTTACGTCTTGCCTACGACCCCGTGCTGCACAAGCGGGTGCTGGACACGATCGCAGCCTGGGCGGCCACCACCGCGGTGAGCTCGCAGGCAGGGCTTCAGCGGAATGAGCAGGCGCTGGAAGCCATGCAATACCGCCGCTACTGCCCGCCTCGCAGCTCACTCTTCCTGCCCAACTCCTTGTGACTGCCATATTTTCCCTCGCTGCTGCCTCGCCCCAATGCTGACACCTGCCTGCAGTTGGACGTGGTGGAGGGTGTGCCGGTGTGGCCCTGGGAGCAGCAGGGGGTGCAGTTTTACTCCAACTTCGATTTCAACATCCTGAGCCCCCACAAGGAGGAGCAGGAAGAGGAGCAGCAGCAGGAGGAGGAGGAGCCATCCCTTAACCCCTTGCTGGTGCACCTGATTGCTGCCGCTTGCCTGATTGCTTGCTGCTTGATATGCAGCCTGATTGCTGCTGCTGGCTGCCTGATATGCAGCACTACTGTCTCCTCCTCTAGGGCAACATGCGGCAGCCCCTGCACGTGTTTTGTTTGGTGTTGCCCTCACCCACTTCTGGCACGCCTCTTGACTGCAGTTATACCCCACCAACTATGGGCTCGGAAGCGCCATCAGTTCCAACGCCTCTCGCAACGGGCTTAAAACGGCGAGTTATCAACATTGATGCTGACACCTTGCGCCGCAGTTCTGTGACGATCCTGCCACAATCGCCTGCCAACTGCCGTCCTTTTGTGTGCACCCAAGAACGCCTGCCAACTGCCCTCCCTCGTCATGCTTGCAGTGGTATCAAATGCTGCAGGTGGCACTGCAGGGCGGGGTGTTTGACGCCAACATTGTGCAAGCAGCGAAGTACCTGCTGCCGCCACCCAACCTGGCCTGCCGACTGACAGCAGCAGCGAGCTCCGGCACCATACCTGCGCCCGATGCCGCAACAGCGGCACCACCTGCTGCTGTACCTCAGGAGGCAGCACAAGATGTGGCCACTTTCGGGCGCCTCAACACCGACAGCTGGAAGGAGGGCAGCTCGCCAGCTCCCGGCTGTGCCATCAACTCCCCCATCATCCGGGATGTGAGCCCTGCCTCCAGCAGCTAGCTGCCACCTGCTCCCGGGAGCAGTGCTGCAGGCGGTGGCCATGCTGTGCCCATCAGGCTTGCCGCTCGTGGCGGCGGTGTTGCACAGCCTGATTGCCCCCGTGCCTGATGGCTGCATGTCAACCCATTGCGTGCAGGGACCTGAGGATGCCAAGAGCAGGCAGCACGGCGAGCCAGTGCAGGCAGGCGTGGAGGAGGCGCCGCCTGCAGATGCCAGGCCGGGTGGGCAGGAGGAGGTGGACGGCGGCGGTGCCGGCAGGCAGGATGGGCATGTCGAGGAGACGGCCGACGACTTGGTGGCAGTGGGCAATGGGCAATACTGTCGCGGCTCAGTGCTGGCGCAGGTGCAGGCCATGTGGGAGCATCCCGTGGCCAAGAATCTGCCCATTGATGAATTGGTAAGCTAGCCCACATTCACTGCCTCGCTGCCACATGCTGTGCTCATGTACGACTATGTTGAGTTGCCGGC